GCTTCTCGGGTCACTCAGTGGGTACCTAAGGGGCCAGAGCGATGCTTCCAGATCTTCCAACTCTGCTATATCAAGTGCCACCGTGACCCAGTTTTCTTGCCTTCCATAGCTAAAAAGGTGGCAAAATAAATAATTTAAAAATTATTAATGTAGCTGTAAACTGGCTTGCTCAGCTGCAGGAGCTGGCCTCTAAAGCAGGTGAGTTGAGCTCCGTTACTAGATCCGTGTGGGCTTGCGTGAGCCCGGCTGCACCGTCACAGCCACGGTGCCTGGGAGGAGACGGGAGCTCTGCAGGAACACGGACACACCTCATCTCCCACTGCACYGAGTGGGCTAAAATTCAAGGTGCTTTAGGGAACGACTGTCCAGGCCTCCCTGCCCAACGCCCGCGAAGGGAAGCGATGGAGCAGAGCGGGCGGCCAGCCCAGCCCAACCTCGGGACGCAGACCAGCAAGGTCACCGCGGCCGAGTCACGTCGCAGGGGGAGAAACCGCAAGGAAAACGTTAATGCCTTCAACTGCTCTGTGCCAGCGCATCCGAGAGGTGCTACAGCATCCGCCACGGCAGCGCGGGGGAGAACGCGCCCYGGCCGCCGCGCCAAGCTCCTGCTTGCCCCGGCAGCCTCCGTCCCCAGCACGCGTGGGTCGCGTGTCCCCAGCTCCTCGCAGGCCACATGTCCCCAGCCCCTCCTTCAGCCCCCGGCTGCATGGTGGCCGTACAGCCTTAGAGCCCAGTTCACGCACAGCAGACACATCGACCTCACTCAAGCAGGAGAGAGACACAACTTGCACGTGCAACAAGATGGACAAGCGATGCAAGAAGCTGGACAACGTAGCATTTCCCCTTGGTAGAAATTTGGAGGAGACATAAATGACTGATGTTAAAAACAGATGGCTCATGTCCAATGCTGCCCACAGCGGCGGCACGAGGACGGGCAAAGGGGCCAGTCCCACTGGGCCAGGCTCCATGTCACCCATGGAGGTGACGCTTGTGAGGGACGTAAGCCCCGCGTCCCGAGCCAGCTGAGCTCCGGACGGGGCGGCCGCAGCACCGTGCGCAAGTTCCCCTTGAGCCCCATGGCGTGTATCCATAGCCCTTGGTCACYGGTGCCCGAGCAGCAGCGATTGGGGCAAGCAGAGCCCTGGGAGAGCACAGCACCCACTGGATGCACTGCGTGTTCCAGCCCAACACACTGATCCGATGGCCCCGAGACGGGCCTAGGAGCCTACAGCAATCTGACATTTGTGCTCATCAGAGTTATTCCTTTATGGCTTTTTTTTCAGTAGCAAGACAGATTATGATGATGCGCTGGAAGAATATGCAAGTCATCTCCCTGTATAATTATTTTGCAAGCAATGACTGCTGAAACAAGGCTAGAGAAATTACAGCCATTGTAACAAATTAAACTTGGGATGGCATTTCCAGCTGTCTGGAACAACTTCTTTGTTTCACACAACAGTTCCATTAATGTTCCAGAGTCTAAGAGTGTTTGTGCTCTGAACAAGGTCCTGTTATTCATTATTCCTGTCCAGGGATGAACAAGTGTGATCCTAAGAGCTTTGAGGTTTTAGCAGGAACTCCAGTCATGTCAAAAAGCTGCATGAAACTGGGCTTTGGAACTGCTTCCTCTCCTGTCAATTCTAAAATAAAAATATTTTCCTAGTCTCAGTTTATTGTTCTCTCACTGCAACAGTACACAGCTTTGCTGTGTCAGACCTGCAGTTTACACCCATTGCTCTGCACATCCCTAAGGGTTCATCAACCATTTCTAAGAGATGCAAAAAAAAATATAGAAAGATTTCTGTCTGTTGCGAAGAGGAAACACCTGAATCAAGGGATTAATGACAACGGGAAAAAGGGAGCTTTAGCTGTGGTCCTCCCAGGACTTGTACATAGCTCGCTGTGYCTTAGCACCTACTGAAGTTCTCTGTGCAAGTTAGATTAAATCAAGCCTCAGGTTTGTTGATTCCCATTGCAGTCCTTCCTTCCCTACAGGTATTCCCTAGAAGATGGTCTTTTTTTTTTTCCCTCCCCCTGAGGAATCTCAAGAGATGAGCAAATGAGAACAAATACTGACTATATACATGGGCAGTCAAAGCAAGTCCTGCTAAGGTGAGGACCTCAACACACCAGACAGTGCTCAGACACCGAACCAAGAGCTGCAGGACCAGGCAGTAGCTCTCTAAGCAGGGAAGAGGAGCAAGTTTCGGGTGGGAAATGGAAGCTTCACGGTGACTCCACGGCAACTTCTCTGGGGCTTGACAGCGGTGAAGAGCAGAGCTCGGTTCACATCTCCCCACGTGAACAGAGCCTTGTTGAACAGGTGAGGCTGCCTCCAGAGGCCCTGCTGCAAAGAGCTGCTTAAACTAAGGAAGTCCTGCTGCCTCCAGAGACCATCCTACCCCTGGATCACGAGGCWGTAACGCACAGCTATGATAGGGGCCTACAGACCATCCTAGCTAGGAGGAGCACAAAGACATTTGATTACCCTTAGCTTTGCCTGCGGAACAACATATTGCAATTTAATGTGGGATAATTACATTCTCTTTCTTTAATCCTCAAGATAGTTGGGCTTAAAGAACTAAGAAATGAGTTTGTCCATCTTTCCTATTGGTATTAATGGAAATTAAKACAAGGTCTTTCTATACAGTGACAAAAGAGCGACTGTGTTTTCAGCTCACTTTGGATCCGGTCAGGGGCTGAAATGCTTCCATAGGGCTCTGTTACCTCCAGGAGACCTGCACTCCTTCCCACTAGCTCACTAGTCCTTTGGTTCCTGAAGCAGAGCACTGACCGTTCTGCATCCGATTGCTACACGAATTGATTAAAACTGCACTTATTTTCAGTCTCCACATAAAGAAGCAGTAAGATTTCTAGAATAATATGAAATAGTTTATGTAGTTAAAATCCCATAACTGACATGCTGCTCATTTCCACTGRAAGTGAGATTTCCATCACATGACAACAACGTACAGTCTATCCATGGAGAAYGTATTTCAGGTGCATCATTAAATAAAGGTTTGAAAATAATGGGCCAAATTCAGTTGYGAAACTTTAGAAGCCTTTTAGCTTTTCAACTCATATCCAAATCTATATTTAAAGTGGTGTTTACTTTAATGCCATTTTATGCAGTGTTATTTTTCTTGCCTCTTTTTAAAAAGATATGTTGAGCTCTGATCAATGCAGAGATGTTTCCATTAACGACACAGGTGCACCACCATTTTGCCAGCTGTTTGTGCCACTGACACAAGCTGCAGATGCAGCCGACCAGGGAAGCAGCAAAGCTAAAACACTCCTGCTMTAAAGGACCAGTCCTTAACAGGACACTGACCAGGGAGGCCTGTGCTCGCCCAAAGCCTCACAAGCAGTCACCTGCTCGCAGCACCGTCCATGAGCATCCCTGCTTTGAAGAGCTAATGAGAAACAACTCAGCTGTTCAGGGTTATCCCATTATCTCCTGTCTTYATGGGTAATATTGATATGAAAAGCTTTAAAAACTGAAACAAATAATTTTTAAAATATTACTAATATTCCGTATGGACTTTGTTATTTTTTGTGACCAATAATTATATTTACTTTATTATTATTATGCCAGTACCCTTCAGTCACACAGTAATTCACCTTATTAGAGTGAATATACCATCTTCTTACACATGTGTCCTGTGGATTTTTCACCACATCAAATTGTCTGAAATTAGTCCTGAAAATGCTCTGAATTGCAAAATCTTTCAGGCTGCAAAAAGAGTATGCGTTTTACTCCTGAGGTGCATTTTTCTTAGTTCAACAAGATTAATTAATCACAGCAAATTACTCAATCAGTAGGCATATAAACAGGGGCAAATCAAGCCTTGGCTTCTGTAAGTGGCAAATTTCAGGCAGGCCTGATTTGGAGGAGTGCAACAGCCTGCTCCAAAGCAGGGGCCGCTGCGTAACACAGCACCTCTGGAAAGCAGAGCCTGCGGTTGTGATCTCACAGTAAATTTTGTGCAGTTGCTATAATGATTGCCTGCAAATTCAGTTGCATGGAAGTCCTAGGGTGCTGCAGTAGGAAAGGAGGAGGAGGGTCTGCTTGGGAGAGCAGGAGCYCCCAGTAATCCTCCCATCCTCCCAATGTCTCACGGTTCCAAACTGCTCTGTAGCCCCTTTAGGACACTGCTTGGAAAGCCTCTTTTCCCAGCAAGCTACTAGCAGTGGATCAGGTGCTCGTTGGTGCTGCATTCATTGAGCTTTCCCAAGGCATGCCTATGAGCCAGCATTGTCAGGGTATTTCGTGGCTTGGATACGTATAGAGGTTGCTTGGATCTATTTATCTGGAAAAAGAAATGTGCATGGTCAGCTAGACCTATGGCAACCTTGACCATACCAACCTTGAATGGGCTTTGCCTCCGGAAAAGGAGAGGCTTTATCACACACTGTCACACATGCAGACAAGACAGAGGATTGCTCCCGAAGTCTTAAAAGACTGGGAGGAGTTTTGTGCATTTCTAGGATAATGCCACATTCCTGCAAAAGTCCCAGTGATCTTCCCAAGGCAACGTTCCCACTGTAGCCYAGGGCCCAGCTCGGAGCTGGTCCTGAGCTGCTTTGGGGTGGGGGCATCACAGGCTTCCCGGGGATCCAGCCCCTCGGGCAGCCGCAGCCGCATTCCCGCTCCCGCATTCCCGCATTCCCTGCCTGGGTGGGGCTTTCTGCCACCGCGGTGCAAACAAAAAAGTCAATCCTGACCACAAGCAGGGAGGCAAGACAGGGAGAGGGAGGGTGCCTGTGGGTGCAGGGGCTCCTCTCTTCCCCATGCACATACACACACACCTGCAGAGAGCACATGAATCACACGAGACGGCTGGCGAGAAGGAGCCAGGCAGGCTGCTGCCTGCAGGAAGGCATTTACTGCCCCACACATTCAGGAGACACGAAACGGCAGGGTGGAGAGGATACCTCCCCTCTGCAGCCTGCCTCGCGTGCAGRTCGCATCTCTCACATGCACATATATGCAACCCACCTTGTCATTCAGGTTCTGCAGCGCCTCCTTCCCAGTGGCACTCTTGATCTCCACCTTTCTTCCGAAATCAACAGATGGTTCCCCTCCCTTCCCGCTCTGTCTGGAATAGACAGACTGAGCATCCGGACCTAGGTGGGCAACATCCTTCTGCTTTGCCACGACTTTGTTAGATCCGCGGCCCACGGAGAGGGAATCAAAGTCGATGGTCTTGTTCTCCAGGGAGCCTTCCACGGGGCAGAACATGCCACAGAATTTCTGCCGGGGCTTGGGGCTGCCCGAGCCCAGGTTTTTGAAGAAGGCCGGCACTTCTTCCTCCTCGCCCTGCCGACCAGACTGCTTCCTCTCAGCCATGGTCTGCATGCTCTCCCTGCTAAGGGAAAATAACAGCGGTAACCACAGGAGCCTGCACACACACGCGCACACACACACGTGGGGGGAAAAAAAAAAGGAGGAGGAAAAAACCCGGTTTGCTCTGGGTCCTAGAGCCACGGCAACATCAATTGCCAAGGGCTGCGCCGGGCAGATCCCCTGCCCCCATCGATACAATGGGGTCGGTGGCTCGCGCTGATTTCTTTGATGCGGTGCAAAGTTGAGGGGAGGTTGGGGCAGATCCTGCAGCAATCAAGGGAGGAGGTTTCAAGTTCCCAGCATCCAGATGGGGAGGGAGGGAAAGGCAGAAGGAAGGGAAGGGAAAAAAAAAAAAAAAAAAAAAAGCGCTCACTCTGCAGCAGACCCTGGGACTGATCCGGAAGTGATGCGAGTGCCGAAGCGGCGAATGGCTTCGGTGGGGCTGGAGCGGGAGCCCCCATCGCCCCCATCCCCTCCCCGCCGCCGCTGCTGCCACAAGTTGCGGGCATGCGGACGGGCCGCGCCTCCCCGCCCCCCCTCCGCAGCTCCCGCCGGCACCGGGAGCTCTTCCCGCTCCGCCGGGCACCGGGAGCCCTGCCCGCCCCGCCGGGCGCCCTTTGTTCCTCACGTGTCCGCGGTGCTAACGCGGCGCCGGGCGCTGACTCATCCTGCCGGGCTGCGGCGCCGGCGCGGGGTCCGTCCCGGGGGTGGCACTGGGGAGAGAATGAGAGAGACACCCATGGGGAGGGCGGCGGGGACGGGCGGCGAGCCGGGAAAGCGGCCGTGCAGCGGGACCCACCTCCGGGAGCCGAACGGGAGCCCTCGCAAGCGCTTCACCCCCAGCAACGGCGGGAGCCCCGCGGCCCCGCGCAGGGGCGCGGGGGGCGGCTGCGGGCGGCTCCGCCTGCGGGGACACGGCGGGGAACACGGCGGGGAACACGGGCGCGGAGGGGGACACGGCGGGGGCCACGGCCACGGCGGGGGCCACGGCGGGGGACACGGACACGGCGGGGGCCACGGCGGGCGCTGTCCCTTCAGCACCAGCCCGCGGCGCCGCGCAGCTCCCCGCGCGCCCGCAGCCCGCGCGGCCGCTCCCGCTCTCCCGGCCGTTCTTTATTGCACGTGGGGGTTTCGCAGTCCGGCTCCGGCCCGGGCAGGACGGCGGCGGCCGCGGGCTGTGCGGGGCCCCGCGCACCTTGCGAGCGCTGTGTGGCCTCCCCGGAGCACCAAGCTGCGCACGGCTATGCATTATTCATTGACATGCAGCTTTGCACACACATACATTGAATGATAAATTAGTGGCATCTGTGTCCAAATGGGTACCAGGCCCCTCAGCAAGATTCAGGCCTAGAAGGGCACAAAAAAAAAAAAAAAAAAAAAAAAAAAAAAAAAAAAAAAAAAAAAAAAAAAAAAGATGTCTCCATCACCACCCCAGGAAGAGAAGTCAGTGCATTTTCACCCAGTCAGGAAAAAAAGAAAGGTCCCCAAGGAGCAGAGCCCTGTAATAAACGCCCTGGCCTGCGATGAAAAGCTGCAGCCTGGAAAGGGCTCAGCCCCAGAGCYGATGTGCAGCTAATGAGGGAGGGCGGGAGGCTCCAAAGGCAGAGGCCTCCCGGGAAGGCGCTTCCCGCTTCCCCGCGGGAGCCCAACGGCAGAGCAGCCGGCGCGGCAGCCGCCGAGCTCAGGTGCTTCGACGGGGGCCGGCGGGCAGCGCATGGTCCCTCAGGTGCATGAAGTCCTGTATTATTTAAGGTTTATAAATATTAATAGTGTGGGCRCTGTTGGCTGGGCAGTCAGTGGGGGCCGCGGTGCTGCTGGGGGCTGTGGTGCGGGAACCTCGCAGCAGGGTGCTCACACGTCCTGCCAAAGCAACTCATCCACGGCACTTGCTGTATCCCCGCAGGATGCTCCGGGGCCCTGCGGAAGGATGGAACGGGAAGGGGCTGACACTGGTCTTGGCTGGGAGCTGCCACCCGCGTGGGACACAACCACAGCTTCCAAACACTCCAGGGACAAGCAAAGYTCATCCCCAAAGCCAGCGTCTCCTCCCAAGTAAATCCAACCCTTTCTTTCCCGACATACCCCAAACACACCGACCACTCGCATACTAAACAGCTGTCTCCAAACATTCCSCATTTCCATGTGCACCTGAGGCCTCCCGTGGTTTGTGTCCAGCGAACACCCTGCTCTGCTGCGCAGCTTGCCTCTCCCGCACAGCATGGTGAATTATGCTCCATTACGTTTCATTGCCATAGTAACTTCCAMGAGCAGTAAAGCTGAATTATCAAACTCACTTTAAATAACACCATGTAATATAAGCTTTATGTTACTTTAATTTCCTACCATTTTTAGGTGAGAGGATTGCTGCAAACACAGTGTTTTCTCCATTGCTTAAAGACTATGACCTCAGACAAAATTTGCAACAATATATTCTGCCATTAAATTGCCATTATTAAAATAAATGACAGCAACTATTTCCAAATCTGGAGCCCTTTCTATTGCAAGCAATTAATTATTAATACTTCCAGAGGGTGCAAAATATATCATGCACTCCTGCAAGAGGCTGCAAGTTTCACTGCTCGACCACAATCTGGGAAAGCAACTTCCCTTTTCCCTGGTTGTTGTCTTTTCTGCCACTAATCCCAGCACCCAACCCTGGAATTTTCATATTTTAAGATGCAGGGATAGTACCAAGAGCAGAAACCAACTAAAATTTACTATATTGCAGAATATTTCTTGAACATTAAGAATCAATATTTGAGTGGGCTGGAATTTTTTTGGCATAGCACAAAACCTGCAATTGTCCACACAGAAACCATCACCCAGCCTCCCTTCAGGAAGCAGCAACTGCTGGAGCGCTTGACCGACCTCCTTGCTGCTGTGCAATCAGAGATGAGCCATTTATTTCCAAAACATTAAAGAACAGAAGAAGGTCTTTTGATAAATGAGTTACAGCCATTCAAAGGCTGAAATATAGCTCAGTTATTCTCATGCCSCTCTTTCCTCTGCTCATCCTGTGCCTCTGCTTTCTTTCATGGCTTTGGCCCCAGCCACCTCGACAAACCGAAGCAGCCTTGGCGAGCTCTGCCAATCGAGGTTCCCTGCCAGGGGGTTTAGCCCACGGAAGCAGGTGGTTGGAAAGCCTCAATGTGCCCCCGTGCCCACATCTAGGAGTGCAAATATTTAGTCAATTAAAAGGGGATTTTCCAAAGGCACAAATGGAAATTAGGCACGCAATTCCCACTGACCTTCAGAGAATGGAGAACCTCTCCGCCTTCAAATCTCTCCATGCTCAATCAGTGTTTAGAAAGCAAAGGCTGGTGAAAGGTGCCAGAAGCCTCCCRGAAATCCAACATTTTTCAGGTATTCCCAGAATTCTCAGAACTTTCTACCTCTTTGAAATGGCCAGTACTTAAGACAAAAGTTCTAGTAAAATCACCGACTTCATTAAGGTCTGTATATGTCCTCTGATACTTGGAAGCCCTAGCAATATGTCATGTAGATTGATTATGGCTGAGTATTGAGGCATGTTTCCTCCAGACAGTGTCATTAAGAGAAATCACCCGTCTGACCACAAAAAGGCGTCATTAAATATTAACATTTCCTCCAAACACCTCTCTAAGAATACACCAGTTACTGGCTCGCTATCACTAAAACCTACATGGAATGGGACTCAACAGGAAATACTATTGATTTGTGGAGTGGAAATTATATAAAATGTTGTCAGCATATTCCAAAAGAACCTAAAATGGACAAGGAAAATCTGTACCTTTGTGACACAGCTTAAAATAGAGACCTTCCAAGACAGAAGACAAAAAGGGAAAAGCAAAGAACGAGGGGATATTATTATTTATGCCCCATGATCTAGGGCATCTTGACAGCTCAGCACCTCTGCTGAGGTGATCCGTGATCCACATGGCTTCACACATCTTCCGAGCAGTAGGCTAATAAATAATAATAGCAAGGGTCATCAAMTATTTCCTGTTGGATTTCCTTTCTATGAATGATTCACTCATTCGACTTTCAGAGYGCCACAGCTCTGTGGTTTATTTTCAGACAGGATATAAAATCACTACAATAACAGCAGTAAGCTTTACACTAAAGGTACCACATGCCAAACAGATACCACTTGGCTTAACGTGCTGCTGCTGCACCAAAGATGCCACCCACCTGCATCTTTTCTTCATGTTTCACTCTCGGCCTTTCAGCTGCTTCAGAGTTGCTCTCTCCCATCTCTCCTATTTCATGGCAATTCCTGTAGTAAGAACCGCCACTCAACAGAACAGCCTCTCCCGCTACTGGAATGGGAATGTTACCCTACAGGATACGCTAGGATGTGATCTGCTACTTCATGCTCATAACAGAGGGACAGGATTCCAGAAGAGACACATCCTTGGACACTGAAACTAGTTCTGCTCACTCACAGGCAGCGGAACAATAAATCCTTAGACCAGAACAGTGCTCACAACATTCCCTACCCATGTGCATGCAGAATAAATACATGCCAAACACCCAAATACAGAAACGCTTCCTGAAACTTCAGGAGAAATCAAGAGCTTTAACTGCAAGACTTAAGCAACACATGCTGAAAGAGGTGGCATATCCAAGGCCCATACAAAGGAGAGAGGTGGGGCAAAATGYCCTCATAAGTCTGGAAAAAGATATTCCTGATGGGTATGGTTCTGCTTATCAACTTTGTTCATCGGATGAGAGCCCTGCTAGTGTGTAACACAAAAGCATCTTACCCATAAGCTGCATTAAGGCAGTTTCACCGGATGGATTCTGCGTTTTGTGATGGCTTTAGAGACTATTTTAAACACGCTGCACCCTGTACAAGTAGACATTTAGAAAATGGCTTTGAATCCATGATTAATCATGTTCACAAACATGCAATCACTTATTTGGTGAAAACAACGAGAGAGAAAGTTGAACTGACTTGAAATCATTGATAGAAGTAAACAGAATGTGTGGTTAAAAAAGAAAAATCGAGGTTTTCAGCCTGAAATTGAAGCAACCAC